ACTGCTGTCACATGTCTGTGCATATTTCTCTCACTACCAGTTGTGTCTGTCCCAATTTCTAATGCCCTCTTTGATGTTTAGAGTACACTTTCATAAAATTCTGAAATTCCTCTTCTGGGTCAGTTTTGTTTTGGTCACCCTATATATGTATGTGCGTATGATAATAATAAGGCTTTAAAATGTTTTTCTTTCTATTTTTCTCAAAACAGTATTAAACTGTATCATTTTTAATATGTTTTTTACAAAATTATGCCATAAAGTTTTAAAGTTGTACGTTTAATATATATATATAGATAGATAGATATGCATATACACACACATACTCCATATTGTTACATACAGTTTGCTCAGATTAATTATTTGAATGATGAAAAACAGCAGTTCATCAAAGAAATCTGCTGTAAAAAAACACCTGATTTGAGGCCCCTTTACCTGCTTTAGTGTTTATATCATGACTGTAATACAGAAAAGATTACAACAAATACTACAAGACAGAAATCTTGAAATAGTCCTATAAAATGAGCTCAAAATTCTCAAAAGCTTTTTTAAAAAACACGAAGTACAGAAATAGTGGAATTTAAACATTATTAAGTAAGACATGTTAATGCTATCAGATGCAATGAAAAAAATTTTTTGAATAAAAAAGGAAGCTATAAAGACATTTTAGAAATCAAAAAACCACATTAAACAAAAACATTTTGCACAATGTCTCATAAGAGGTATTAAAGCTACAGGAAAAAAAAAAAAAATAGTGCCTTAAAGATAAAAATAAGACATCAAAATGACATTTGTTCACTTTTATGCTTTTAAAAAAATAAAGAGAATGTAATATAATATGTAAAAAAAAATTTTTTTAAATATACTGGTCTGATATAGACAAGCAATGATGGAATTGCTAGTTAAAAAGTTGCTTTAGATTCACTGTTGTAGCATACCCCAGGCAATAAAATTTAAAACAATTTTAATTGTCAACTCCTAGAATCATTGACAGACAATTCATCCTCCCATTACACTGAAGTGACAAAAGTCATGGGATAGCAATATGCAAATATACAGATGGCAGTAGTATCACGTAGAAAATGCATAAATGCAAAGTGCTTTGGCAGGGCTTTCATTTGCGTTCAAGTTATTCATGTGAAGAGGCTTTGACGTGATTATGGCCGCACGGCGAGAATTAACAGACTTTGAACACGGAATGGTAGTTGGAGCTAGACGCATGGGTCATTCCATTTCAGATATCGTTAGGTAATTCAACATTCCGAGATCCACAGTGTCAAGAGTGAACCGAGAGTACCTAATTTCAGGCATAACATCCCACCATGGACAGCACAGTGGCCGACCACCTGCACTTAACGACCGAGACCTGCGACATCTGCGTAGAGTTGTCAATGTTCACAGACAAACAACACTGCGTCAAATAACCACAGTAATCAATGTGGGACGTACGAGGGACGTGTCCGATAGGACAATGTGGCGAAATTTGCTATGCCAGCAGAAGACAGACTCGAGTGCCTTTACTGACAGCACGACATCGCCTGCAGCGACTCTCGTGGGCTCGTGAGCATATCAGTTGGTCCCTAAGCGAATGGAAAACCATGGCTTGGTCAGATGAGTCACGATTTCAGTTGGTAAGAGCTGATGGTAGAGTTCAAGTGTGGCGCAGACCCCACGAAGCCATGGACCCAAGTTGTCAACAAGGCACTGTTCAAGCTGGTGGTGGTTCCATAATGGTCTGGGCCGTTTTTACATGGCATGGACTCGGTCCTCTGGTGCAACTGAACCGATCATTGACTGGAAATGGATACCTTCAGCTACTTGGAGATCACTTACAGCCATTCATGGACTTCACGTACTCAAACAACGATGGGATTTTTATGGATGACAATGCGCCATGTCACCGGGCCACAATTGTTCGCGATTGGTTAGAAGAACATTCTGGACAATTCCAGCGAATGATCTGGCCACCTAGATTGCCTGACATGAATCCCATCGAACATTTATGGGACATCATCGAGAGGTTAGTTCGTGCCCAAAACCCTGCACCATCAACACACTTTCACAATTATGGACATCTATAGAGGCAGCATGGCTCAATATTTCTGCAGGGGACTTCCAACGACTTGTTGAGTCCATGCCATGTCAAGTTGCTGCACTTCGCCAGGCAAAAGGAGGACCGACAAAATATTAGGAGCTATCCCATGACTTTTGTCACTTCAGTGTATAAAACTCTGATAAAGGCTATAATGCACTTAACATTAATTAACCAGTTATGATTTTGATCTTCACCATGACCTCTTTCTTCCATATTCCTCAGCAGAATGCAAAGTAGCTTTTAGTGCACATAAGCTGGAGATTAACTTCTATTCACACTATTTCTGACATAGCCATAATTTGCTAACTTATCTGGTAGGTTAGTAGGACTTAAATTCAACTTCCAGATGAATTGCAACCTTACAAGGTTTAAAATTAACTCATTAACATGTTAACTCAAGAGTCACATGGACTTTACAATAACAGAAACTTGATTAGCACTACTTGTAACAGAACATGTGTTCCAATAAAATTAACCCCTTAAGCGGCATGACCGTATTTATCTGGCCATGAAATTTTTTGTCACTTAGTATATATTAAATTATGATTTAAAATATTTTGCTTTCTTACTTTCTTTAATAATGTCAACCTCATCTTAATGAATGAAAGTTTGTGAAACACAGACTAAAGTATTTATAAAAATTTAGCTAATAAAAGCTGCTTAAATATAGATCTTCATGACCAGACCTTAGGCCATGTCACTTTATAAGGTATATAAGGTATTTATATATACCTTATATATATATTTATATATTTTTATTTTATATATAAGGTTATATATAAGGTATTTCTCCCACCTTCTTATCCTGCCTTCATGGTGTGGTGGAATGCACGCTGAGCGTGTATTCCAGACGTCCGCGGTTCGATTCCTGGCAAAGGCGTTGCATATTTTTCATCTTGCCTGGTTTTAAAAAAAATACCTAATGTCTGTCTCTACAGTGGCGCCCAAACTAAAAGATTGGTGGATGATGATTTTCCCTACCCAGGATTTCACGATTGGGTCCCCTAAAAGCCCCAGTCAACCTTTAAAAGGGGAAAGTATATTAAGGTTGCTATTTCTTCATCTTTCCTGCTTCCAAAATACCTAATGTCTCTACAGTGGTGGCCGAACTAAAAGGGTGTTGGATGACGATTCTCCTCACATAGGATTTCGCGATTTTGTCCCCTAAAACCCCAGTCGCTCTTTAAAAGGGGTGGGAGTATATAACGTATTTCTCCCGCCTTCTTGGTGTGGTGTTCTGCACCCTGGGCGCGTATTCCAGAGGTCCATGGTTCTATTCCCGGCGAAGGTGTTACACATTTTTCATCTTGCCTGCTTTCAAAAAATATCCTATAGTCTCTACAGCTTGAAGGGTTAAAATATTAAATACAAAGAAATTTGTGTCAAAATAAGCTCTAGCTTAGCCTTAAACATGCAAATGTGATTCACAAAACTACAGCCAATTAATCAATTCAGTAGCAGAGAGGCATAACAGAGTAACCAGTCAGCAACAACCACCAAAGGCTCTCTCGTCAACTCTAGAACTCTACACATATATACATTAACTAATAAGCATCCTGCTGGGAGCTGACAAACACTGAATGAGCAGTACATGACAAATAATAAGATAACTGCCTTAATTACTATAGAAACCCTATATACATATGTCATAAAATATATCAATCCATTTTCTAATTTCATTGGACATTACATAGCTCATAACCAAAAAATACTTCTATTTTTAGTATTAAAAAAAACTGTATGATCCATCCCGCACTTAAAAGAAAACATAAAAGTTTAACGGTGTATCTGCAGTAGAGAGTAAATTAAAAGAAACAGGGAGGTACTTACGACTTAAAAGTTATTCAGCAGGAACAATTACAAATGTTACAAATGTATAAAAAGGGGGAAAAGTCCAGTCCAAAATTTCCATACATATAACAGTCAAAAGCAGTTCTTTCATAAACGCAAAACACAAACATACACACCGATTTCCATATGCTTGTAGTTTTTTTCAAACAAACAAATCGTTGGTAAAATTTATAAAAATACACTTTTAGATAGCATTTTATATATAAATGAATTATCATTAAACAGGATAAATCTCTTCTTAAAATTAACAATATTATGCTTCAAATGAGCCTATAGCAATACGAAGTGATGAAGGAAAAAAAAAAAACTGTTTGGAGAGTTAGTTTTCATTTAGTCAGTCTGTTAATTCACCTAACTCTAAGAATCTATACGGAAGTACCATTGCTTAACTTATTAAGAGAAGTACAAAAATTGGCACTTATATTAATTTACTATTAAAGGCGATCATGCTAAGTACTCAAATTACAAAAATTATATTTTCTTATAATGAATCTGAAAAGTAAACGTGAAGTAAACTTTCAGGAACTCGTGTAAATAATATTAAATAAAAGAAAAAAAAAATTTTTAAACACGAACACCTTTTTTTTTTTTCTTACGTTTACATGGAAATGCACTTCGTAATTTTTAAATATTAAAAAAGATGCATTCAAAACTAACATAAAATTACGCCGGGAAAAGTGAACGAAATATATATATATACTTATTTATTTATTTATTTACTAGTAAATAGCCAGTACTCGTCAAAAATATTCTAAGCATAAATGCATCTTAAAACACGCAAAAACTATGCTTTAAACCCATATTGCAGCATAATTCACGTAACAAAAAATTATGAACTTCCACTACACTAAAAGGTGATCAAAACTACTAATCATTAAAATTTGTAAGTATGTTACAAATGATAACAAACTTTCCAAGCGCTTACTAATCACACTGGAAGTGATTAACGCTTAGTTTTACCTTTTCATTCAAAGGTAATTAAATGGTCCAACTTCCTTCTTTCCAACTCTTGTTTATTTAAGTTTTACAAATGTGTAGTTAAAAAAAAGTACGTCACCTGTAGCATTCCTTCCAATTATCGGCGTTAGAAGTTAGGCTCCAGTCGTCGTTGCCAGAGGACGATACCACACTTAATCTTTTTACATGTGCCAAGTACAGCTCGCTAGTAACAGCAAACAGGGATAAAATATCGTAGAAGCCCATTAACCTCGCCGCCAGCCTTAGGAGTTCCTGATAAAATAGAGTACGTAATTTCATTTATTAAAATTATTTACTGATTACAACTGATTAATTAAATAATTGGAATGAAAGCTTTTCAAATAGCAGCCTGTTCGCATATTTTCATTTTATTACTCTAAAAATGTATCATAGAATCTTTGAATACCCCACAGTGTGTTCATACAACACCTAAGTTTACATTTCACTGAGTGAGACTCACTCTTAAACTTCTGTTATGACAAAAGATGGCTGTCAAAAAAAGGGCTACTCAGAACCTCATTTAGTCCAGTACAAAGCTCGTCGAATACACCTCTGACACTCCCAAGTTATTATTATTGGCCTACTTAGACCAAATAATGACATATATTAAATATCCACATCAAGGTCAGACATTTATAATTCCGGGCACGATATCCAATGTATATTTATTAAAAATCCATTTCATGACATTGTCTTTCGCATCCGCACAACCTAATGTCATGGGTGGACCCAGTCAACTGCAGGGAAGTGCATTTGGCACGCTCTTAAACCAATACCATTCTCCCGTCCTACAATATTAATTAACAGAAGCTGCTAAAACATTAAGCTGCATTTCTTATTATTTTGCTGAGCTGTTTCTTTTCTCATGCAGAAACTCAAAAACTCTTGGATTGACAATTTTAATCTTTTCCTGACTTCCCATTTTTAATCTTTGCTCGAACCCGCTTTTCCAGGGCTACAGATGATCTTCAGCTCATGATCGCCTACCTATGACTAAGCTGGTAGATGATTCTCTGGAAAGTGAGGTTATTAACGGGACGAATTGGACCTCCAGACATAAAAGTTACAGAATATGTTTGGAGTGCTCTTTGGATACCAGCTGCAGCTCGCCCTTTCCCTACCAGATCTCTCCGTAACCTCAAAACAGTGTTGCTGTAGGATAGAATCGACTGTCACAAAGATTCACAAACTGCCTCATTTCCAGTGCCAAATTACGTTGAATAACTAGTGTTGCGAAGAACACAGAAAATATATAAATCAAATATATTCAAAACAGTTCATTCAATTGCGGGCTGCCTCTACCCGAGGCTGGGTGCGTTATGAATAAAGACAAAAAATCTTAAAAGACCATTCTTTAGTTTCATCAAAACAGTCGCTTCCGGGATCAGCTTTCGTTCTGTCTACAAGCAAAAACATTCGAAACACGCATATTCACAAAGCCTACAGACAGTTTCTGCTACTGTTTGCTCCGATTGGTTAAAACAGGAAACGTAGGGTTACAGAATCTTGTACTTGGCGACTTTTGCTTCATCGCCTATGCTATTTGTATATGAGCCTCCTGTACCGAAAAGTGTACGAAATCCAACGGCGAAACCGCAGCTCAATGGCAACGAGGATGGAAAAATTTCTCTGACATCTATATCGCGGTTCTATCCCCGCTCGTGAACTTTTACGAACTCTGCTCTGGACGGATTTGTTTGTATCCTCACTTTATTGAATGACTTTGTCATTATTGGTCTTTTTGCCTTCGGGTGCGGTGTTAAAAATTCGCACCTTCATTTTCTCTATTTTTGTTAACGCTAATTTTTCTTATTTTTATCTACTGGTTTGTACTCTTTGTAGTAGGTACCAGTAGCAAGATTATGATCCAAGATCCCGAAAAGCTTTTCAATAGCAACAGCGCATAATAGAATAAAATATAATTTTAATTTTACTTACTCATAATTTAGGTTAAAAGAATAAGTATCCGACGCACTTAAATGTTTATTGAATTGATTGTAAACACTTTTTCTTGCAAAACAATTATCGTACTTTCAACAGTTTAAGTTTAAATACAAATAAACTATTAATAAGATCAGTAGGTTATTTAAAATATATTCTACACAATTCTCCTTAGCTTTCATTCATAAAATAAAAAATTATTGAATGAAATAACAGCTGCTTCTCCTCGCTGTACTGAAAGCCTACAAGGGTTTGTTTGACATTAATTACCACGCCTACAAGACGATAACTCGCCATTCCAAATATGATCGACAAGCATATGTTTCATCCAATGAGAGCACATTGTAGAGAAATGGTCTGTAGGCTTTGTGAATATGCTCGAAACACTCAGCACTCAGGCTGACGTCACGAACAGCAGCGCCTCGCGCCAGTTATTACTTCAGTTCATTTCACAACAACTAGTAACAGCTGAATAACTTATAGAGGGGACCACACCGTTGCCTTTGTAAGGAGACTTCTTAGGAGAGGCACTACCATACCCTATATTAGCTTCCTTAATTTTCCATGTTGCAGCGTCTATTTTTGACCTCCCTTATCAATGAACCTTACTCAAGATCATGCGTGTTAGCCATGATTCTTATGCGCAGTAGAGTGCGAAGGGAGGGACGGGGAGCGGACCGTTGAGAATTTGTAATGGGGGCGGGCTCAAAGAAGCTTAAGTTTAAGGAATACAAAAAGGTGTTGTATTCTGTGACTACCTATAAATATGCCGTGTTTATGTTTAAAAGTTTGTATTAGAAGCTCTAATGCTATAATTTTAAAAAGTATGAATAGTTTTCCTCCCGCCTTCATGCGGCTTCCCAGTCTGTAACTTTTTCACAATGAGTGTTTCAATTGCTTCTTGTGTGAAAGGCTTTATAACATTGACGTTAATTAATACCAATGTTCAATCAACAACGAGCCAAGTAAGACTTACTGTCTGGCTATCATTTCATATCAAAATACAATAGGTTAAAAACATTAATTTTTATGAAGTTATAAAACATTTTTCAGAGCTCAAAGTTCGCAAAAAACAGTTTTATCTTTTTTATTGGCAGAAAGGTTAAAAATTTTTTAAGATATCAGAAGTTGCAGATTAATAAGCCTTTTTTAAATATATGTTTATCAGCTAGATACAGGGGTTGGACAAAAATATGGAAACACCTTTAAAAAACATGTTTCTTTGCTTAATATGGTGTAGGAAACCCGTTGGCATCCAAAACAGCTTGCAGTCTTCTCGGAATGGATAAATACAGTTCCTGTATGTTTGCCAAGGGAATATTATACCATTCTTCCTGCAAAACGGTGGCAAGTTCAGATAACGATGTTGGCGGTGGATAACGAGAACGCACTTTCCGTTCCAATGTAGACCACAAAGGTTCGATAATATTCAGGTCTGGTGACTGTGGTGGCCAGTGGAGATGGGACAACTCATCCTCGTGCTCAGAAAACCAGTCATGGACAATGTGAGCTGTGTGAACAGGGGCTTTGTCGTCTTGGAAGACACCATCACCATCGGGGAACAAAGTTTGTACCATGGGATGAACTTGATCGGCCAAAATGTTCACATAAGTCTTGGCAGTCATGTGCCCTGACTCAGTTATCATGGGGCTAGCAGAGAACCACGATATGGCTGCCCAAACCATAACAGAACCCCCTTGGCAACAAGCAGTCTGTATTATAGGCTTGAGATGGCGTTCTTCAGACGTAAACTCGCCCAGAAGTGGGAAACAATGTGAAAGAAGACTCGTCAGACCATATTACTCGCTTCCACTGCTCTATAGTCCAGGCTTTATGACGTAAACACCACCTTTTCCTGTTACGGGCATTAGCATCACTGATGAGTGACTTCTCAATTACAGCACGGCCAGCAATTTCCTCTTTATGAAGCTCTTTTCTAATTGTTTTGGTACTCACAGGGTTCGATAACACAACATTCATTTCAGCAGTAACTTTTGCAGCTGTGGTCTTCTTATTTTTCTTCACAATTGCCCTTAATGATCGTCTGTCACGATCACTCAGGACACACTTTCATCCGCGCTGTGATTTAGCAGATGATGTTTTTCCGCTTTTCAAATATGCGGAATAAATCTTCGATACAGTACCTCTTGAAACACTAAACACCTCGGTTACCTTGATTACGGAAGCACCTACCATACGTGCTCCAACAATCTGCCCACTTTCGAAGTCTGTTAACTCTGACATAATGCAATGACAACCTCACATAACAGTACTCCGACAACAACTGAACTGTTTAGCACATTTACGAAGTTGTATAGGTGACGTCAGTAGTCAAAAACGCCAGCGCCACCTACATATTTCATTAAAATCAATCTTTCTATTCAAACATGCATTTCACAAGGTGTTTCCATATTTTTGTCCATCCACTGTATATGTTATTTATCCTTTAGTCTTAAGATTTCTTTTTGTTTTCTAAATCATTTCAATAATTTGATTTGAATAAGGTAAATGTTAACTAGTTAACTAATATATACATTTGTGTTCACATTTTGTTTGGTGAACATTCCGATAAGGGAAGCCTCCGGGAGAATTCCGTCTCGGGCCTCAGTATTTGTATATCCGCTACTTGCGTGTGGTATATCGTTTGTATCATGTGAACTTCGTCCATAAAAATATCATTGAATTTTTTTATATTTTCTTGAGTTATGTAACTGAACATATGTCAAAATTTTATTAATTTTTAACACCAGGATATTTTAAAACGAGGAAACTGTTCCACTTTTATTCAGGTTAACGTATACAATAGCCAGTTTAAAGGCTTGCTTAAATTTGCGATTTAGATATCCAGCATCTAAAATCATGGGATTGCTAACAACAAAAGAATAAACTTGTTGATTTAAAGCAACCGTCACTATTAAAAACTACACGACAGCTAAAAAATCAAATGATTTTTGAAAAATTGCAATTACAAGGAACCTTCATTTGAAGCGTAATTTTCCCACTTATCTAATGATGGAAAGACACGATAATTTGTGTGACCTTTAAACAAAGATGTATGAGAAATATTCAACACTGAAGAAGAAAAAGTTGATCTGAATGTTGAAACGTTCCTGTTGAGTATCATCACAGGAACTTACATAATTTTTTTTAAGAAAATACGATCTGTAAACTAAGGGTCAAAAATTAGTTTTAAGATTTTGATCCAAACAAACGAGTGAAGAAAGAAAGTAAAATAAAACTGTAAACAAGCGTTTTATTGCCAGAAAAGCTATATTTTCACAGCGAGCCGGTGCTGTAGCGGTTCTGGTGAA